CACACATTTCAGCTGTATAATCATAAAGACCACTCTCTCGTTTATTTTGGTTTCCATGACGTGCCACTTCCCTGACCACCCTGTCTAAAGTAGCTCCATCCTCACCGAGCTTTTTGTCTTCAGGACACTCAGCAATCCATCTGGCATTGTATCATATATTTAAGTGGGTGACTGTCTCTCCCACTAGAATGCCAGTTCCAAGGGGGCAGGGACCTTAGACATCTTGTTCACCGCTGTCACCCACGCCCCCAAACAGTGCAGGGCATACAGCAGGTGCTTAATAAATATTGGGGGGACGAATGACTGATTTCCAGACCTTTGGTTTGGGAATTACCAAGGCCATTACCATCTTTCCTCCAAAGAGTGAGCAAGAAAACCTATGGGAAAGTTAAGATGGGGGTCAGGGGTTCACGCACACCCAGGTTGGTCCCCAAGGCCTTTTTCGTCTTGGGGGCACTGTCACAGCCAGCCGGTTACCCTACATTAGTGGGGTACTGTCCATAAGGTAAGTCTGGTTTATTAAAGCACAGTGGGGGAGATAGGGCTTCTTTGATGGAGGAGCGTGTAAGCCAACCTACCACGTACGTGCAGCATGATGCACAGGGTGACACGCTGGTGAGGCCCTCGGGGGCCAGGGGATGCGGATGGAACGGCAGCTCCCTCTCCCCCTAAGGCTGGGGCATGTGCCACCAACTTTGCCCGGGAAGGCAGGGCTGGGAACTGTGTATTTAAGCAAAGACGCTTACCCCAGGCTGAAACCCAGATGCCTGTGGGGTGACACACGACCCTACCCTACAGGGTCGCCAAAGCAAACCCGGCCCAGGTTGCTGCTGGCCTCTTCCTGGGCATCTGAAATCTTGGCTCCAAGACTCAGGAGAGGTTTCTGTCCCTTTGTGCAAGACCGACAGCCAATAATTTGTCTACACCTGCGCCTGGAAAGCGTTCTCTGAGTCATCTGCAGGCAGGGCGATGTTAAACACCAGATTAGCAACGTTTAACAAGAGTTAACCAGGAGGTGAGGCGGCCTGCGTGATAGTAACTTAGCTGTCTGGGGCCCCAGCTGCCAGCCCCAGGGGTGGGAAGAGGTTGCCCATAGCAACCATTTCCTGTCTCTTTCCTAAAAGCAGCATCTTCAAACCCTGTTGGTTCACAGGTATTCTCTTTTTTAATTTAAAAAAAAACAAAAACAAAAACAAAAAACACCCGCACAGGTTGTAGGCAGTTAACTAGTTACACAGTTAAAGGCCGGATAATAGAAGCTTGGGGTAGAGGCTCCGGAGCCCAGTTCCCTGGGTTCTATTCCAGCACGGCCGCTTACCAGCTTGGGCAGGTCCCAGCTCCTGTGCCTCAGCTTCCCTCTCTGGAAAATGGGTGTAATAAGAGTGCAAACATACTGCCTAGGAGTACTGTGAAAATTAAATGAGTTGATGCAAGTAAAGAGACCACTGCTAGCACCTGGTAAGGCTATCTAAATGCAGGCGTCATTACCTGGGCTGAAACAGCCCCAGGTTTTGCCTTCAAGCCAAATTAAAAAGATCAGAGAGCACAGTTCCAGACCTGGCATCTGGTCAGCAAGGAGGGGAAAAAAGTAAAGTCAACCAGGACAGCCAAGCCCAGGAAGCCAGGCACGCTGTTCGTACGGCTGCCCCCGGCAGGTAGAAAAAGCACCCAGGAAAACCTTCTGTGAGATGGATTGAAGGTCACCCCAAGAATGAGGGGAAGGCTGGCTCCCTGTCTCCCCGCTCCAAGCCCCCTGGTGTAGGACCCCACAGGGATTTAGCCCCCGCATGAGCAGCCCAAATACCCGCCATGCAGCTGTGCCAAGTCTGAGACACTCTTGCAGGAAGGTGGCCTGTTCGAACAGCGGGAACAGTTTAACTGCAAAAAGCCCGGATCACATCCACCAGTCCCTGGAAGTCCTGAACGCCTCTCCCACCCCCAGCCCCTAAAAGAGACCAGAGTTCAAATTCAGCACATGATTTTCACCTGAGTGATTCTCAAACTTCGCTGCATATTAGAATCACCTGGTGGGGGTGGTTGTTGAAAACCTCGATGCCCTGGTCCCAGACTCTACTCATCCAATGAGAATGTCTGGAGGTAAGAGGCGGGCATGGGTTTTTTTTTTTTCAAATCTCCAAGAGATTTCAGTGCCTGCTCCAGTTTGGGACCCACTGGACTGAGGAGCAAGGGAGACACGAGTGACATTCACATGAATGGGCTGCAGGCAGGGGAACCATTCCTTTCTGCTACCCGGAGGGCTTCCAGCTGGGAGGAGGCAGGTACTGCCCCGTGAGGTACCAGGAGGGCATTGCCGGGGCCCCAGGAAAGTGGGGTCCTGCTGGCACACCTGGTAGAAAAGGTGTTAAAGCACGCACAGAGCGGCAAGAACAGGGAAATGCCACTGCGATGGTTAGCAACCTCCCAATTTCAACTTGTCGTTTCCTCAAGTTGGAAGGCACCAGATCCAAACCCCGCCCGCAGCGCTCCCGCCAAGCAGGGAAGGGGTGTGGGGGACTCAGTCTCAGCCCAGCCACCAAGCTGGGAGGCCACCTGCGTCCACCCGAGGGCCCCACTAAGGCCGGGAAGACGTAAAACTCCTCAGTGTCCTGACCTGGGGTTCCAGCCTCCCCCAAGCACCGCCTCAGCTCCACGTCAACATCCCTCAACATCCCGTCAATGAGAGGAAGGGTTCCTGTCTGGGTTTGGGTTGTTTTTTTTTTTTTAAAAAAAAAAGGCTTTCACGTTGGCAGCACGGGGGAATAGTAAACAGGGAGCCTGGTCAGGAGCAGCCGAGGAACCTGGGTAGCATGCCTGCACCGCCCGGCCTGGGGTTCCTGCCCACCCAGCCCGCAGCCAACCTCTCTGAGGATTTTGGACAGTCCTCACCCCCTGCTCTTTTACTGCTGACAGTAAGATAATCACTCCTTCGAGGGGCCCACAGCCAGGGAGAGGTCTGTGTGTCCCGCGGCCAGGCGGGACCACCCCCAC